AAGGTATATATTCTGATCACATAAAGATAAAAATTGCATTTATATATTGATCCAATATGCATTTTATCCATTCATTTTCAGTAGATAGACTCTCGACTCATCTATCAGGATCAAATATGATCCAACAAAAACAAAAACCAAAGAAACAGACGAGGGGGAGAAAAATGACACCAACATGGAAGAGGATGCAATAATGGCAGTTTAGGGGTTATTATTTATTTTGTTACTTTTTTTTTTTTTAACAGAAAACTACAAACTTGAAAAAATACTGTGGGGCGGGGGAATCTGGAGACAGTTTTAAAGTAGACTTTTTCTAGGGCGTAGTATATTTGAATAAGCACTCTCGGGCCATCGTTCCATGAGCATTTGGTGATAAATACTGACCACATTTAACATTTCATTGAGATTGTTTACCCATTTTGGACTAAATTATCAGGACAAAATCACTCTTAAAACACTTAAAATAATCTTTTAGGTCAACCTGAGGAAAAAAAAGTTATCTTTATCTGGAATTTGACCTCCTTGGTCAGGAATGGGCAAAATTGGGACCCCTCAAAAAAGAAAAAAAACCCCGATCCAAATATAATCTCACTGTTTGATGGGAGAATATTGAACCCAATTAAAAATAACATTATTTGGCCCAGAGGGACAATTCAAGCATGTCCCGGTAGTGTTAGTGGAATACAGCTGTCTTCCTGGTCATCGTAAGAGACCTCAGCTGGAAATAGAGTCGTGAGCCAGGACAATAAAAATGAAGGAAATGGCTTCAATTTGGCACCTGGCTCCAGTAAGTTTACTGCCACAGTGGGGCAGTAGTCCATTAAGACATCATTTGTGGAATGAAACATTTTCTGCTTCAGTCACTGCCTAATGGACGAAGGCAAGTGTTGATCATGCCAAAGGCTAGAGATTCTGATATATGTCTTTTGAGATTTCAAATGAAAAATATGAGTTCATATAAACAGGGACTTGATATACAGTGATTATAACTCGAGGATCTCAAGAGGGTCCTTCATTAACAACAACACACAAATCAATGTTTAGAACCATCATAAACAATGGCAAACTACAAAGTCCCCCCAAAGCACAATGTATCCATATACTGTACTGGAGTGTGTTCTTGACACACAGTATCCAGGCAGCATGGAGCTGCTTAAACATCCAGTTCCAAACTCGACTGGTAGATTTCCTCAAATATAATTAGAACATTCTTGATCTAATGAACAGCCACAGGATGTTTTCAGTGCTTTGTACTGCTCATCTACTTCAAAACCATCTGCATCATTTCTCCTATTCAAACTGCAAACCATGTTACAAGAGATATATTCTATTATAGCGGCATTCAATTATTAAATACAAATATGAAGATTTGGGCAAACAGATGTAACTGCACATACACTACATGGGTGGTGTGCTGTGTAATAACAGCAAAGAGCTCGTTTGTCACCATTTTTCCACACATCATCAAAAAGCGCATGATCCTGCAGATATCTAATTTCTTTTTTTTGTCTGAATAAACAAGAATGTATGAAAGAATGAATGAAAACAAAGAGAGTGAGAGGATTTTCCGAGTAAAGGCAACAGCAAATGTAATGGGCTACACATAGATACACTGGAAAGGGTAAAGAAAGCATGGATTATTCATGTCTATTCCCAAAGTAGAAAAGGCTTCTTTTTGATGAATGGTGCCCGGGGCGCTCCTTCCAACTCAATATCAACAGTCCCAGGCAGACCAGCGCCTCACGCTGCTGCACCCAGACAGTCAGACACCATGATGAGCCTCCCCCGCTTTCACAGACGGGGCCGGCGGCTCTCAATCTACTCGCTATAGTCAGCTATGATGAGGATGAGGATGATGGTGATGTGTGGTCTAAGCCAAGGTGATCCCAAATCTAAAAAAGGTCTCCTCAAAAAGTGAGTTGCAAGGCAATACGCCTTGCAATGGAGTTTAGGATGGTGGAGTCATCTTAATGTAGTAAATCTGCATCAGTGTACAATATATATATATATATATATATATATATATATATATATATTTGTTTTGTTTCCATCTTTTCATGTCTTTTCAGCAATTATCTTGTACAATGTAATTAGAAACAATCTTTGCATTCACTTTACAAGGTATTTAAAGGAGATCAAATGACAGATCATGGAAAGATATTTCACGACTAAAGGCACAGTTTGAAGGCATATCTAAAGTAGGTGTATATTGAAGAGATGGTGCTTTCAGCACACATTGAAGTGGTTTTGCCTCGACATGGGTTCTGAACTGAGGATGAACTCAAGCTTCCTCGTGCTTCTTTTGAAACACGTCTATCCGCTGACAGCATGTGTCTGCCCAATTTCTTTTGGCAGACTATATGAAAGAAGTCGAATCAAGGGAGGACCAGCCCATTGTGGGTCAAAGCCCATTAACACACGCTGCTTGCAGCCAGCGACGACGGACAGTGTTGGTCATCGTGTTGTCTGGGCAGTGATGATGAGAAACTGACTAATGCCGAGATTTTCACACTTGTCACACAGTCCATGCCATCTCCCAGCGCTTAAGAGGCGGATAAAAAGCTGCAATGGCCAACTAGCCATTCAAAGTACCTTAGCAACAGTTGTGCCGCCGAATCGATTGACGTGTGACTTTGCTCTCCACCAATTATGTCGCCTTGCCGCAAAAAGGAGGAGTTATCCATAAAGGCGTATGCAGCAGCCTTGTGAACAAAAGGGAAAAGGATTCGGGAAAAATTGCCCTGCTTGGGTCATCAGCATTCCCTTCACATTTTCTGCTATCACTGCCACACTCAATGAGAGTGCTATGGAGCCTTGGGTAGAATTATTCTGTCACTTTGGAGGCAGAAACCACGGTACATGAATGAGCCGAGCAATTAGCGTCAACTCCGTTTTTTTGTTTTTTAATCTGAGATTAAAAATCAGTGACTGAGAATGACCTTTTGCTGACAATCCTGTCCCAATTGTAAATGTCCTTGGGTGTTTTGAAAGGTGCTTATAAATTAAATGCATTATTATTATTATTATTATTAAAACACAACAAAGAAAACATTTAATCATGCATTGTTAAATTATCAGGACTACAAAAATGCAATTGTTTTTCCACCATAACACTACATTTATTTTGGAATCTCCTCATGAGTGAACTGACTACATCTAACCAAAAACAAGTTTGTAAAACGTGACCCAGACAGATTTTTTTTTCCCCGGGTCTACCTTGCCCTTTGCATTGAACGTACAAAGTGAAGCTGAATTTTATCTTATTTTGTCATGTTGCACTCTCTGACTGCTCAGCCTCCCTTAAGGCCTGCAGCTCCGGGAGCTCAATGGAGAGTCTCTCCTCTTGGGAGATTGCTGTGCGTGGGTTGGCGTTTGCAACCGCTCACTCCTGACTCCTCCACCCACAACGGCTGAGATTTCCTGTCAAATGCTTTCTCCCTGTAAACAGTATTGTGTAATTATGCTACTGATCACAAGGAATAACCAAATCAGACACAGCAACAAGTCAGCCACAACATTAAGTAGAGCTGCACAACCACAAACAAAAAACAAAACAAAAAAAACACCTCAAAAACAACCTAAAAATGTGCCTTCTCAAACATACCAATGCTCAGTCGACATTCACACTGCCAGAGAGTTACCAAGAGAAATAATAAGGTACCAAATGAGATTAAAGTGAGTTTTTTTTCTTCATTCACTAGTATTTATCAGAAGCTAATTACAACTGCATTCCACAGGAGTCAAAAATGTTGCAAAGCAATTTGTGATTCTTTCGCAAAACCTCATGAACCGCACTTGCAATGAAATCAGGAGTGCAGCTCAAAATGCCAAGCTAATCACATAAACCTTTCGAACGCGCTAATCAAATATGATCCCTCTCCCTTCAGAGGCCTATAATCCCCCTTAGTGGGGATGCAAGAAAAGTGCCACCTGCTTCCAGTTGTACAGCTTGGTGCTCAAGTGCCCTTGTGACATCATGATGCCACTAATCTATTGAAGAAATGCACAGCGTCATCGGGATGTCACTGCTCAATCTGGACTGGCCGTCAATGAATAAATAGACCCAGCATTAATCGATCGATCCTAAAAATGTCCTAATTTCCATCAAGAACCTGAGAAGCATACAAGAGGCTGTCTCAGTCTATGTTTGTAAAAAGAATGCTATGTGGAATTAAACCGGCAGGTCAAACGCAGCATGTGAATGGCAATTGCACTTTCAGTAGGAGTGGCAAGATTGATGTGGTCAAGTGATTATGTGGGTTTGTTCCTTGAGTGGATTCTTTTTAGTAAATTAATATTATGCAAGTAAAATGTATTCAAAAATTGCCCTTGTAAAATTCAGGGTGTACCGAAGACAGCTGGGATAGGCTCCAGTAAGGCCACGACCACCATAGGGATAAGCGGCTCGGCTAATGGATGGATAAATATCGCTCAAATATGTTTCTGTGTAAAATTGACTCTGAATATTTTACTCTCGTCCTAGTGTAAATTCTACTCTGTTTAGACCAAATTGTCTTTTTAAAGACAATTTTACTTTTCGAGTAAAATCTACTCTACAAAATTCACTGGGTGGTGCTGGAACGAGTATAAACAAAAATGTCGGATTTTCATTCCAACCCCTTTATTTTCCAGAATTTTCTTCAGTTTATTATTTTATAAAATATTGCCTTGCGGAAATATTTCATTTTTGCATATTTCTATTTCATACTTTTGTATTGACATTCTTGCGGGATTTAAACAAATAATTGTAATTTTACTCATCGGTTACGCAGTACTTGCGTAGTTTTCTCATTGGTTAGTTACTCTTATGCCATTAATAATTTGGCAGACTAATTGTTCGCATTAATTGAATCAGATTATGACAAAGTAACAGTAGTCTGACTTGATTTTCTCTTGGGCTACTCTGCCTACCCCTGATCAAATTAAAAGTGGTCGGTCGGTTAACGTTAGTGGAAAAATAGATCAGTAGTTCACCTTTGGCAGTCATTTATGACCAGCCCATTTACGGTAACACAGATTGCTTAAAACAAGGATGCCAGCCTCAGAATGCATTAACTTTGACATAGACTATGAACCCAGGGAGAGTGCCAGGGAGAGAAGAAAAAAAAAGGTCATTAAATTTGCAGCCTTCTTCCTTGCTCCACCGGCCACTTACGGTAAGGGGACAGCAATACATGACAGGAAGCTTTTACATCAGCATATTTCCATATTTCTCATCACCTTTTTACAAAAAAAATAATGAAAGAGCTAAGACATAAGACCTGGATGCTTTTGGCTAGTGCAATGAGTTTATTTTTTATTTTTGAACCAGTGAGGACACACATTGAGCTTCTTCACAGCACTTTATGAGAAGACGCTCACCTGCAGGTGATAGCAAGCTCATGAATGATTAATTATAGTTGTAATTAAGATTTCAAAGGTTATGTAATATGTAATGGGTTGGGAAAATATATTTTTGTTGCTTTGTCTTCCATTGTTTTGTTTTTTTTTTGTGTGTGTGCGCGAGATGTGCCACTCAGCTGGTAGCAAATGCATGACTTTAATAATAGTTCTTTTGTTCAGTTTTAGTGTACAAAAGATTTTTGTTGTTGTTTCACATTTCAAGAGGACCATCCCCCATCCCTACCTTTTGTCTCTGAGAGCTGCGGTTTGGCGTTCGAAGCCCGGAAGCGCCGGGCTGGTGCCTGGTTGGCCTGCCCCCTCTCGTCTCCTCAAAGCTGCTGGCAGATGAAATATTTATGACTTCTATGGCTTGAAAACCTCACATTCCATTTGAAGTGCTGCAGCTACTCGGATACTGCCCCCACTGATGGCAACTGCCGCCGCCATTTTCCTTCGACCGGCACTCTCCTTCCCAGCGGGAGGTGCGAATCAAGGTGTGAGGGCGGGACGGCATCCAGAGCTTTTCTGCTTTTCACTCTTGAAGGACAGATTTGAGGAGAGCTGCATGTATGAACGTGACAATCCATCAAGACAGCAAAAATGATGTCCCAAAATACACGCATGCAACACAGCATCATTAAAAAAAAAAAAAAAAATCATTTTGTTTCTGTCTAAAAAGGTCTTACAGTGTCATTTGGTCATAAAAATATAAATTCATGAGCTTGTGCAAGTGTACTTTAATAAGTGTCTGGATGTCCTACATATTACACTTCTACTATTCTAATGCTGTACTATACTGAATGACTCTCAAGACAATGTGTGTTTTTTTTTTGTTTTTTTTTAAAGCATACTGCTTATTTGAAGAGACCGAATTGTTGTACGTGATTGTGAATGCTTGTCTATATTTGTATCCTGCAAATGGGTGGACACCAGTCAAGGGTGTACCCCATTTCTCACCCAACGTCAGATAAAATAAGCCACAGCGCACACACCGTGACCCTAATAAGGATAAGTGGTATAGAAATGGCATTGACTGAAGGCATAATGTAACCACTACTGACCAGTGTATTTTAATAATAAATGTATGGGTGTCATCTTATGACACCTCACCATCACCAGTCACAACAACCTGAGAATGTGTTTTCGCACATCAGTCTCAATATTCTAAGTGTGTGAAAAGAGGAAATACACATATGTTTGCTTTGTGCTCAGTTCTAACACAATGCCATTTTCATACCCAGCTTGTTTGGCTACACACTTAACTCATGTTACAAGCAAGTATTTTAACTTGCATTGGTCTTTCAGTAGGAAAGTTCAAGTACTGCAAATGAAAAAAAAAACTGATCGATTAAAGAATTGGTGATCCAAGACCTGAACAAAGCCTGCTCTTATGCATGCATGAAGTCACACTGGTTCCTAAGCAACAGGCTATTTCACAACACATGCTGCAGCTTTTCAACAGGTTTCAAGAACACTGCACGTCACATCAGATGGCAACCTTGAACAAACAGCTCTCTGCCTGCTTCTTGATGGAAGTCGTCTGGATAATTAGCGCTGCACAATGAAGCCGCATTCTTCCTCACCGCAAGGTCTTCTTCAGCGCCACATGAAATCAACATTCCCCTGCACAACCTGCTGTCGCCAGGCAAGACTCCAGTTGCCGGGTTTCAACGGTTATGATGGAAGATGATATTCCAAAAGGCTCCGATTCGTTTTTCAAAAATGAAAGTATTATTTGTTTTGTAAATTGGCAAAAAAAAAAAAAATGTTTCTCAGTGAGCACAAAAAAAAGGGGAATTATTGTGCTTACCTTTTTTGGGGTTATATATTTTTTAAATATTTTGGACGATATACTCCATGTGCAAGTGTCATAATTTTACAAATAAATGGTAATAAATGACAAAGTAAAAAGTAAGCCGATGTAGTTTCTTTGTGCTATAGTATGACTTCGTGATAAACAGTTGAAAAGCATCCAAATTTGTGGCATGTTATCAATATTAACGTTTGAGGAAACAGTTAAGTATTTCTCAAGATATGGAGAAATCTGTCCAATAACAGATGTTGACAAACATGCAAGCAGGCCAATCAATACCTATGAAACTGATAACCCCCAAAAAACACTTTTCTTCTTCTTCTTCTTCTTCAAAAAAAAAAAAAGAACATTGTATCGTACACTCCGAAGTACTCCACTGTCACTTAAAAGCTGCCCGAAGGACAAAATATATTCGAAGGTATTTTATGAACAAATACCTCCACTTCCAGTGAGCTAGTCCTTAACTATGATGTGCAACATGGGTATGGATCTATAATCAATTGGTTTATATGATTTGACTTGATAATTGTAACTGCGCCTTAAAGATGTTGCAATGTTAATTTTCTTGTACTACTGTTGCAAATCAGGCTTTCTTTTACTTTTCGATACAATTACACACGAGTAGTGTGTCTGATACATATCGGTGTATTAAGATGTGAAGATGTCAGGCAGTGAAGGTAAATCCCAGCAAGTATTGAGTTTGGTTTGGGGATTTGATGGAAAAAAATAAGTATATGATGCTAGTGCTGCTGCAACACATCACTTGGGAAAAAGACTAGTACGTAATTCCAAGCAAGCTATGTTATAAGGAGAAGGTGGGAAAAAAAAACAGCCAGCAGAGAGAAGATATGGGATGTGGAGGTTTACATCTGTTTGCTGCCTTCTGACCCTGAGCAATTACGTGGAGCTGAGGTTTTCTGGGATTCTACCTGTCAATCAACTAGTCTCAGCACAGGAGAACAGTCAACAATGGCAACGGAAATACAGCCATGTTCTTATATCCTTTGAATGTTCTTTATCCAAGACTGTGAGTTACTTAAAAAAAAAAAAAAACGGGATGAACAACATACACGAGTAGGGACAATGGAAGCATCGATCATTGTCTACAGCGGAGATGCAAATCACTGCAGATTATTTGCATGACTTGTACTTAATAGCCGTCTAAATGAAGCTGGGCGATATTAAATTGTCCAGCAGCACATGCACAAGCGCTTTGAGAGATGAGACTGATAGTAACCACGACGACACAGGAAGACTGATAGATGCAGGTCCTGCTTACTCAAAGTGAATGGAAAAATGTTAACAATTAAATTCTTGCTTGCAGAAGCAGAGTTGTACTGTGATAAGGACAAAACGTGCTCTAGCAGGCAGCCATGTGGTAGTAAGATGGAGTGGGAACAAGGACATAAAAATAGATAAAGAATAATGAAAAATTTGGGTTAAGGTCATATACCTACACGGTTTGTCTTGCAATTGGGGGGAAAAAAAATTTGCTAATTTATTAGACGTATGAATATTTCGCACATAAGAAAGAAAAAGGTGATGACAATACACTATGGAAACCCTACTATGATTGTAAGCTGTGTGAAACACTGGAGGCTCTCGGAAAAAAAAATGAAGTTCTGAGACAAAACTATTGTTTTATGTATAAAATGAATGCCGTATTAAAATTTCAGTTCATTTCAGAATCATGTGTTGCGAAATGACAATCTGTCACTACCCGAATGAGGTGAGGTGCTTGGTCATGTGCCAGAGTACCGAGTCGCTGCTTGAGCTCAGCGGGATAATCACATGATGAAAAAGAGTGGTCAGAATTAAACCGCAAGGAGCATGATACAGAAAACTAAAAAAGGCGTTAATAAGACATGACAGGATGTATCGCAAGCCTGCAAACCTATGCTGCACCCCTTGGGCTTCCGTGACGAGATTATCGTGTAACCTCACTGGGAAATATGAGTCACTTGTGAGAGTGATGCCGATTGCAGGAATCAATGTGATGATATCACTGACAGCGAGAAGAGCCATGAATGCGAATACATGTCAACCCTAGCAACATAATTGCATAAATGCATAAATGTTTAATCACCTCCTCGTATTATTACATATAAAGTACACAATCAATAGATTTTTGAAATCAAAAGTCAAGGAGAGTAGTTTGATCCCCTGTTGTTCAAGTTTCTGTAATAATGTACAAGATGAAAATGCTTGCAATAGCAATTTTGGTACAGATTTTAGCAAGTGTCATGGAAGTTGACCTGGTTGATTTTTTTTCGCGAGCCACATAAAATGATGCGGCGGGCCACGTCTGGCCCCCGGGCCTTGGGTTTGACACCTGTGCTGTATAGTATAATACCCTGTTAAAGTTGACTTCTTGATTCTGATGTACTGTACTATATCAGATTTTTCTCTCAAGGATTTCTTTATAAGATGTTTCCAATTCCAACTCTATCACCACCAGTTCAAGAATTTCCCATAAATTTTATTCAGACATAAGCCCGTGTTGACTTAAAATCTGATTTATGGCGGCTGGCACCCTCATCCCGGTGTCAGATGAAACCAGCTCTTTGTTCACGCGGCGACATGTGGAGAGCAGCCTTTTGCTAATGGAGGCCAGTGTGAGTGATCTTTGCGGGGGACCTTTGCGGTGCGACGGCAATGTCTCAACGGGATTGACAGAGATGAGAACACACTCGCATTCCCATCCACTCGGCCATTTGGGACAAAGCCTTTTTTTTTTTTTTATAAATCATCCCGATGACCACCTCCCAGTCTTCAAAGCAATCATCGGAATTTATTTACCGTGACACACAGGAGTAGCAGGGAAGCTCACTGGGTAGTTTACCTTTCCGTGCTCAATAAAACCAACCTAACACACTGTGTATCCCTTACAACGGGGATGATTACTGGTGTATAACTTAACTTACACATCTGTGAAGGCACCATTAATGCTGGAAGATGTACACATATTTTGGAGAAAAATGCGCTGCCATCCAAGTCTTTTTCATGGACACCCCTGATTATTTCAGCAAGAGAATACCAAACCACATTCTGCACGTGTTACAACAGCGTGGCGTCATAGTAAAAGAGTGCAGGTATTAGACTAGCCTGCCTGCAGTCCAGACCTGTCTCCCATTTAAAACGTGTGGCACATTATGAAACGTAAAATATGACAACGGAGAGCACGGAATGTTGAACAGCTGAAGATGCACATCAAGCAAGATGGGAAAAAAAAATCCATTTACAAAGCTTCAACAATTAGTGTCCTCAGTTCCAAAACGCTTATTGAATGTTGTTAAAAGAAAAGGTGATGTAACACAGTGGTAAGCATGACCCTGTTCCAGCTTGTTTGGAAAGCGTTGCAGCCATAAAATTCAAAGTTAATGATTATTTGCTACAAAGAAAGTTTATCAGTTTGAACAATAAATATCTTGTCTTTGTAGTGCATTAAATTGAAAATGATTTTCAAAACGCCCCAACTTCATCGCAATTGGGTTTGTATTTGTCAGTCAAAAATATTTACCGGTACTCCACACTGACAGTTAACTCCACCCTTCTGTAATTTACCGTACCACTGACACTCATTTTTAAAAATTAACTTTTTTTTTTTTTTTTTTTTTTTTAATACACTGAGTTCTTGCTTTACAACATTTACCTAACATATTTGTTCATATTTTCAGATTGGAATGATCACCTAATCTGAAATTCATTTGATGTTATTTGGATCTGAACATAAAAGACGTGTTTTGTGTTAGGGTTTTTTTGACTGAGCAGAGAGGATGTGGCACACAGCTGCTGATAACCTGGACAGGCGTCTGTCTAAGCCTCATTCCAGCAGAGACATGTGAAAGTCAAACCTCTGTGAACACACACCAAAGGCATCTGCAGACTCACCCTGCGACCTCATTATTCATCAGGACCAATCGAACACCAGACCAGGAGGAAAGAACCACCTCTCTTTGAATCTGGTCATTTGTCCCATTGACTTTATACTCTGCTGATAGACAGAGACATGTGTCCTTGTCCCTGAGCATTAGGCCTGCCAACACCTTAAATTGCTGATTTGCCATCTTTTGTGTTCATATACATGTGTGAATAAGACACCATGAATGAAGTCTGAAAATGCAAACTATAACACACACACACACACACACACACACACACACACACACACACACACACACACACACACACATTCATACATAAAATATGCAGTCGTATAAGCCCATATGATCAGACAAACTCATCAGCACTGCTACCCTCAATTAGCTCCTGTGGGATATTTTGGCAAACCTCCAATTTTGAAAGCAATTACTTTTGACATGCTGGGCAGAAAATTTCATCTCATAATTAAAAACCTAGAGATGTGAAACATGCAAATGCACCATCGGTCTTGCATGTGGCAAACCTAAATTCAGTGCACGTTTTCCCGTCATATGAAACTGGCAGGAAAAATGTCTATGTACAGGAAAAATACATTTCGTTTTTGCCATCTGATTGGCTCTGTAATGAACATGTCAAAACATAGTCTTACAGAGTAGAAAAAATGTGGGTCAATTGTTATAAGATAAAAACAGTAAGACTCAGCAACATCTGCACTCAGAAGCAAAAGCGGAGCCTTTAGATTTACGTCTAAGAGATCCCCAAACAACACACACATAAAATGGCCAAATAGAGGACACGGCATGGATGCCATCGATTACATTGTAAAACAGTAGTAAAAACAAATGCGTGAAGAAGGAAAAAAAAAAAAACACCAAATGTCTGTATAAATCTTCTCCCTTGAAAAAGATTTTCCTCCTCAATACACTACTGCACATTCTTCCATTTTGTTCGTTAGGTCAAAGTAATAAAGCAAAAGCGATTGTAACTGAACATGGTAATACACAAGGTGACCCACACAAACCAAGATGTCGTTTAAGATATAAGCAGATTATGAAAATTCAATTCGATAGCACGTATGTTCTCTTGGGTGATGTATTGTCTCGGAAACGTTTGTATAGATGATGATGAGGTGATTCGACATTGCCTCCATGCTATGAATCCACAGACCAACCTAACCACAAGCACTTTAATAGGAAAGGGAAGATTTGTACTTGTCACCTTACATGTACCGTCCCATTTTCAGAGCTCATAAAAGAGGAAATAAATCTCAGTAGGACTGAAATAGATTTTTTTCAAGCGAATGCTTTGGAACAATCAACAGTTCAAGTTTAAGTGCAACCTAGGGGGAAGATATATATTGTAGATGCTCTATGGTCAAACATGGTCTGTTTTGGGACGTTTTTTTTTCCTTAGAACAAAATTGTCACCATCAAAATACTTTTATGAACTGAACTAGACCCAGTTCAGCTTCAATGAAACTGCCAACGGTGCAACGCTATCCTTCATGTCGGCTCCAATCTGGATTACTTTCTACAAATCCAATTATGTCCTAATTGAGTGTTACAAGGCTCATTGATTATGATCGAGGCAGCGCGGTGCTAAGCACAAGAAAAATATCGCTTCGAATTAGCCAGGACTCTCAGAAGGCCTTCGGGTGACAGGACTTAATATGGAGATAATATTTTGCTATATGACCCAATGTGAATCGACTTGCCAAGCAACCTTTGTGGAGCACAAAATGAAGAATGACACAAAAATTCGTGCATAATTTCCCAAGTGCCTAAACCAAAACTTATGTAGGACAAATTGCGAGACTACTGTATTAAAACGTTCACTAAGGGATGTCATGCTAGTTGATTATTTTGATGTTGTGTGCACTTACTGTCTATAAGAGGGAAGGTCGGTGGAAGGCAATCTACGCCGGGAAAAGGAAGGGACCATTTTACATTGCACGTTCGTAGTTCCTCTTTAATGCCAGTTGAAGAACCCTAAAAGATCAGGGGAGAAGTTATTAAAAATCACAAACGAATCACCGTTATGGACTTATAACGTAACCTCCTCTGAAGACAACTAATGATGAGAAAGCTTCCCAGAAAAGAGACTTTCAAAAATGAAGACAAATCAGAAATATTTTATGAGTCACAAGACATGACATGAATGAAATTGCAACAGTGGTGGTTGATTCAGAATTGACAAGAATTAAATATTGCCTGGGTTTTAAGGGCGGCTCCGTCTCATGCAGTGTGCCAGCCCTGCTCCTGTCCTTTATACCTGCTGCACCAATGGCGAGGTTGTCTTTTTCTTAGACTGACAAACCAGTGGGCTGGATGACACCTGCGTGTTCTTTCCGGTGTTTAACCTTCAGTGTTCAGCCATCAGTCTTGGCAACGGAGAATATATGACAAAAGAAGGATGGAATAAATATATCTAATTTTATATTCAAGATAAAATAAGTGTGTCACTCTGCATTGATATGAACTTGACCACATGATTCACCTTGAAATGTTTCACAAGACTTAAGGAGTTCAGTAAGGTTGCCAAAGCAAGATAGAGATGTTCAAAGTCCTCGCACACACTTAGAGCATGAGGCAGACAAACAACAACTAAGTTGAACTTGTCTTCTATATGGATGCGATGCGGGATTTTTAGACGGTGCACATTTGAGGAGGTCTTTTCGCTAATACGGTAAGGTGACAAGTTGAATTCCTGGGCGTCATATGTGACGTGTGTTTTAAATTAATTTGTATAGTTAGGCAGTTTACAATATTAACTTGATTCTGCACAATGCTCATGTGTGCGGAATCATCTCACCTTCAGGAGTGTTCACCAAAAATAAGGATTTTACTTGTTTTAATTTTTAATAATAATAATTAAATATGCATGCAGAACACATACGTTTTCAAAAGTGAATCGGGGCACATACATAGGACACAAATACAAACGTCATCTTTCAAGGGCAACCGAATTGCGTGTATATCACGTTCAGTTCCGCAGTGCATTGTGGGAATTGCAGTCAGTTTACTCGTGGCAGTTAGTTATACATTACATCTTTATCTGTTTCGCGCGTTCCCAATGTTGTGCTGAAAGTCAAGTTTACGCCTTCTAATGGTTTATAACAATGTGAGCTAGAATATGAATAGCGTTAAAATGTATTGTCGTGACTACCATGAGTATTGGTATATCTGTGGTGCATAAGTCGCCAGAAAAGGGGTCAAAAACGAGTTTGTTTGGACACCTTTATGGTGTTGGAGCACTCACGCAGGAAGCAGTTGTCTGAATGTGAAAGAGAAAAAAAAGGGTGAAAGACGAAGTGACCAAGTTATTACCTGAAAGTACTTGTGTTGTAGTTTACAGTCTTTTTACTTAGTCTGCCTCGGAGTTCCCTTTACAAAGTGAATCGCACGTGAGCAGCGCCTCCTCAGACGAGGGAGAATTACGACAATGTCGTCGATTTGCGTCACAGATGTACGATTACGTCACTAGTGTATTTGATTTAATTTGGACAAATAAAGTGTCACTATGAAATACCGGTAATGTGTCACTAATGCCTTGTTGTACCCCCGACAAGCAAAACAACTACAATTGCATGATTTTAAGACTTTTAAGACAAGTGCTGTATCAGAGTTTCCATGTTTGTTCCTCCCAACTCAGTTCCTGTAGTAAAATTATGTCCAATAACAACTCATAACTTAATGTGTAATTTCAGTATGACCCAATTATGAATCAGTTAACTCTTATCATTGTTTCCACCCAGCAAATTGGAATTGTAGGCACCAGTAGTCTGCACCCTTCTGAGTGATGTTTCTAATCTTGTATTTCTTTTATTTTGACATCTCGTACTGAATCCTGTTAGGTGGCTCCTATTGCCAGTGTACCTAAGCGATGTTTCCAAGAGTCTGTTTAATTGTGGTACGCTCAGTCAGTCATAGTTGTGTTTTCTGCCTTCCCATATGCTGGGAGGCTTTTCAATCCATTGCCCAAATAACATTGTTCTCCATCTATCTGCCAGTGCTCGTGTCTTCTCGAAGGAAAAGCTTCCCAGATTAATTTAGTCAGGTGCAGTGATGTTGGAGTCATCAATGCACTTCGCTTTGCTCCCTCTGAAAAGGGCTTTTGAGCCAGCCTCCCTTAACCTGATACAAATGGAGTGTCCGGCACAATCAAAGTGCTTCTGTGTGATGCCATTAGAAGCGTTCAAAGCATTCTTTGTTCAGTGACCCCTTTATTTGACAGGCTGCTTTTTCTCCCCCGAGCACATTCGATGTGGTGGCTTACTGTGGTTAAGAAATGTCCTTTTCTCAGGGGTGCTGGGAAGGAAAGTTGTGTTGCTTTCTAAACTAAGTGTGGCTGTAATCCGGCTATAATGAGTGTACACTGACATGGAACCAGCGTTGCGAAACGGGCACTGGGACATATCGCAGCACACCAAATCTGTATTAATTAACCTTTTTCTGCCTATAGGCAAGCTCTTGCAAACTATCGAAATAGTGGTGTGAACACTTTTGTCCTATTCTTAGTAAAAGATTATAATTGGAGCAAAGGTGTTGCGATGACCTTTGGCCGTGGTCTGGCCACGTAACGCTCACGCTTTTGTTTCACTTAAGTCGGGGGAGCTTTTTCGAGCATTCCATCCTTCCTTAGTACTGTTCCTGAGCGCCACTATTATGTTTATTTTTATTTTTTTTGTCACTCTCATAGTATTTGCAACACTGGATTTATCAAGTTTACAACATAAATAATCCCAAAGTACAAGATAAAATGTTATTTTAGAACATTTATCAATACATGTATGTGCAACAATTATACTCAGTATGCGCGGGGGGGGGGGGGGTATGTTTGGAATGGGGGATGAATTGCAATGTGGCATGACAACAAAATGTAAGTTTCCTAACTCTATGTCACAAAAGAAAGATTTCAAACCTAAAATGCAAGTCATACTTGCACACAGTGGTCTGAGCATCTGACAGTTCCTTTCGAAGAACATCGCCATGCTGGAGCAGCCTCCCCGCTAACATGACTTGGCTCCGTGTAATTTTTCCTTCTCTCTGGCCCTCAAGGTGATCATCAAATTTAGTTTTACTCTCTTCCTGAAGGAAATAAGATCAACGTCTTATATTGGAGCTCATTCAATTGCTCACCTCATGTTGAGTGTTTTCTGTATTTAGGTATGAAGGTATCACTGTAATTTCTAACTATGGTCAATGTGTGCCATCCTGTGCTTTTACACAATCATAAAATAGTACCGTGTCCAGAAAATATAAAATATCACTGTTGAAAAGTGAAACGACCCCATTTCCTTGGTTTTATTACTGGTTTGAACGATGCCTTTTCTGACTATTTGAAAGCTCCTGTTGTTTTAAAACAACATACTGGCACATTTTAGCTAACTGTAATGTAGACTAAATGTGGACTATCTCCACTGACGAAAGAATCTAAATAATAATTTATCTGTTGAAGGTAAAGTGCCAAGTTCAACGAGCTTGTTCTTGATTCTTATCAAGGTGCGCAACTCTTTTATCAACACAAGGTTGGGCCTTGTCTTAAAAAGACGCCGCATTATCGTCACGGAAGGCCACATAATGTGCTTCATCGCTTCCATCCCCTCACACAGTCCCCAGCTGTCGATTCATAACAGAGCACACCTGACTGCAGCAACACGTCCAACAACACAATCTCACAAGTAGATGTAATCCTGGTAAGCAGCAGGTGGCCTTCTAGATTGGCTGCCCATTTCTTCACTTATTCCCTCCTTTCACACACACACACTTTGCCCCCCCCCCCCCAACCCCTCCAACCCTCACTCTTTCCCCAGTCTTCCAGTGTAGTGGGAACCTTCGACTGAAACAGGGCCTTTACTGGGGAACAAGGCACGCCTCGGCCCGGAGCTGTGACAGTAAACCTCTGTGCCACAACAGGACTGCAACAGTACCAGGATACCTGAGCTGACCCAACGCTAGGCAACCAGGACGCTTCCGGGGCAAAAAACCCGCGACTTGGCACGGGTTTGCTTCTCACTATCGCAGCAGTGTGCCACTTTGAAATTGTGGTGAGAAGTTCCCCCAGCATAAACTTTGGAAGTGTTTGAAAAAGCGACGGCACAATGGATAAGGATGCACTGCTGGACTACGAGTACCCAGACTTTGACCCTGTGCCCAAGAAGATTAACATAGAGTGAGTAAAATGACTTCCATTTGTTGGTGGTGTTGTTCGTATTGTATTTGAAAGTATAAAAAGTGTACAGTATGTGAACAAGCGGTTTGAGATACAGCGCTTGCTGAAATATTAGTTTTCGTTTGGCATTCTTAGCATCAGCGTGAGGCTTCCCTCCAGTTGATAGGCTGCATCGTTTTCATAAGAATTAAGAACATCGAACAAAGGCTAGCACAAAATATATTTTTTCGGTCGTTGACTCCAATAAAGTGATAGTTTTTTTCAAGCAGAGCTAATCTGGCTACCCATAATGCATTTGGCTGTTTGTGTAGGTCTGTCAGTTTTGGCTTTCTATCCTGACACTTGCACAAATGATATTTAAGAAACTAAATATTACTATTGAATGCACTTCTCAGATCAACACTGAGACAGGATTGAGACAAGTGGCATTTATCGAATAATCCTGCATTTAAACTGTCATGCTCAATTACAAACTGTCTTGAGTTGCGGTCCTTCTCGCTTTAATGTACCTTTGTAGTGGTTTTAGCAGTTTTTCAATGTGTAAACAGTCACTTATCCTCCCCGCAGACTGTGACTGTAGTTGTGAATTTTGACATTGCATTAAATTTACCTGTGGTTTGATGTGATGCCAGCGTCTGCTCTTTCAGTGAGGGCCAAAGTCCCGATTTGGCTCAATGTTTGCACAGGTGAGGGTTTTTTGTCAACTCTATCCATCCTGGGTGTTGCCATCCAGCTGCATGTTTGCAACGTGTACCCCACACGTGAACTGCTCGGAATATCAAAGTGGTAATGACTTCCTCATGACCGGGCATTGTTGCTCTTGTAGCGAACGGTAACGTGAACATAGGCATCAGTTGTTTCCTGCATCACGCTGATAACAATCCGGTTAAAATGCAAATCTCTGCTATGGGATTTCAGCTGCCACAAAAGGTCCTGATGGTGACGTGTGAAAGGTTTAGTGAGGTGCAGGCCCGCTCACTTACTCAAGGCCTTGTGTTGCAACACACGCTGATCGTTTTTCTTGTGTGTGTGTGTGTGTGCGTGTGTGTGTGTGTTTTCCTTTTTAGAATAATTCCTCCATGTGACCCCACTGCAGATGACAGGCTATACCACATATGCATCAGTGCAGTATCAGTGAGTCTCTTTTTCACGTTGCATTCATTTGACACATCTTGAGAACTGTTACTGAAGCATTGAAAGCATGCTGGGATTTAGCAATAGGAAGATTTTGGTACAGTATGTTAATACAATCAAACTTAAAAAATATACATGCTTTTAGTTCTGTGACGGTACAAGGTGTGTCAGAAAAGTTTCATGATTGGTGTTATGAACGGCTTTCCCTTTAATGTGGGCCAAACAATGAGCCGCCACAAAAAGATCCTGCGCCGTTTGCTTTGTTCAGTGCGTGAGAAGAGGTGCCAGTTGTGGAGGGACAACTTTTCTTATTAATTTCATGAGCACCCGACAGTTCCTGGCTGAAAAGAACATCATGTAAGCAAAACCTCCCTTCTTCACAATCTTAAGCGGGTTATGAAGAGCAAACGTTTTGAAGGTGTGGAGGACATCAAAATGACAGTGATGAAATTGTGGCAGAACAGAAAGAATCCATACAAGGGTGCATAAAGTTGTGTCAGAAAAGGCTGAGAAAGTCTGATACTCTCCAGGGGGATTAATTTGGAGGGTTCGACCCGTTGTTTGTTGTACGAATTAGAATGTATCTTTTTTTTTCTGTTTGAAATATTTTTTCTGACACACCCATTTGGAGGGTTCGACCCGTTGTTTGTTGTTAGAATGTATGAGAATGTAATCTTTTTTTTCTGTTTGAAATATTTTTTCTGACACACCTCGTATGTGGCCAACCCGACACTTGCAAGCGGCATTCTTTCTTTCGCCTTGTGCTTCCTAAATGTGCTCCAGGTCATGAAAGGTCACCAGCAAAGACTGACATTCAATCACAAGAACTCATCCTGCCTCACTTGCAAGCGGCATTCTTTCTTTCGTCATGTGCTTCCTAAATGTGCTCCAGGTCATGAAAGGTCACTGAAGTCTCACTGGTCAATGATCTTGACAAATGATGTTTCATTCAGGCTGCCTCCATGGGGGGCACTAATGAGCCCCATGTAGATCCACTCCACTTTTTTTTTTTTCGCATGTGTCTGAAGCATCTTGAAGCCTGATCCTGACTCAAGTTAGTGCTACTCTGGCCACACTGATCTGTTCGTAACACAAACTAATGTATCTCCTCTTCCAGCTTGTCGTCATGGTGATCCTTGCAGTTTTAGCAAGACGCACAAAAGTGGGCAGCCAACAGAAAGGACTCGCAGGTTTACTCAGGTGAGGCTCTGGTAAACTTCGGGTAACCACTACAGTGAAATGAACATTCGACATGCTACAAACTAAAAGTATACAAAGTGATACTGTTTACAGCATTCATTCAAATTAACAATGTGTGTTAATAGCCGCTAATGACTTAGTCTTTAATGTTGATGGACCAGCCAGTGCACCTCATATTGTGTTGTTGCTGGTGTTGCAGTGCCTTGCTAAAATGTTACAACAGATCACTTTATTTATTGCTGAGCATGCCCATCGATTGATTTTTAACCCCATTCACTATAGTAACCAATATATGTTGACAAACGTTGATATTTGAGTCCCACATAACAGCCTTTGAGCATTCAAGTCAAGAAACTTACAAAAATGTGGCTTTTGAATCAAATCAAATGATCAAATCAATTTTTATTTGTGTAGCAGTTTTCACACCTTAAAAAATGCAACCTGCAAAATGCAATGCAATGTGCTCACGCCCTCTGGACTTTAACTGTCAGCACATGGTTTGCCAAGGGTTGGAGTAATCCTAGATTTGAGATACTCCTTTTCAGAAGACCAGAGAGCAGGGCATTGCAATGGTCCCTCAGTGGCATAAGATGAGAGCATGCACCAGCACCTCTGTGTTAGTTTGAGACAGAAAAACGTGGATTCCGGCAGTTAAGAATTGTATCAACTGGCCCTGCGTCATCAGGAGGCACGATGATGTACAGCTGTATGTCATCTGCATAACTGTGGAAGCTAATGCCATGCCTCCTGTTTCCCTCCCAGAGGAGAATAATTTACGGATTAAAACGAATTGGACCTAATACTGACCCTTGGGGCACCCCGGAGGCACAGATGCTACCATGTTAAGTTAAAGACAGCTGTTCAAATTGGAAAATGGGTTTCCATCAACAGCATTTTGTTCTGGTTATGAGAGATATTGGGTTTTTTTTTCATTTAATGGAAAAAATAGATTTTAAAGTAAAACACAACATTAAGGACAAGACTTTAAAGTCCTGCAGACAAAAGTGAAGTCCCCCCAAAAAAGTTTCACGACACATTGTGACACGAAGTCACTCAGAAACTTGAATTTAAAACATCGTGCATCGGCAACAATGTGGCTTACGTATCTTGTAATTCATCAACTGTCAACAAAAACACTGATGAGGACCTTTTTGATGTCTGCTCAATAATCATCTCGGCTGCATGCGATGCCGCTAACACGTGGGCTCTAAATACCTGCCACTTGGTTTCCGCAGTCCGGTCAACTTCCTGGACCATACCCAGCACAAGGGCCTGGCAGTGGCTGTGTTTGGAGTGCTCTTGTGCAAACTCTGCGGCATGGTCATATCACCAAACCCTTTGCCCTTCACGACAGAGACTGAGAACAAACGTGAGATCATTTTTGTGCTTCCTCCGCCAACAGCAGTTGTCCTCCTTTGTTTTTAGACGCACTGTCAACCTGAATGAGATAAGCGAGACATTGTTATGTCCCGTGAGAGACACATGGTCGCTCTGTTACATAATTGGATTGTTTTTCTTCCATGGCTCTGTTTTGTTTTCGACTTAAGAACTGGATAATAAGCTGTTTAATTTCTGAAATGAAATTATGTAAGAATTCGCCGAATGTTGTCAATCCCCAATACTTTGCAGAATCCCATAACAACACAAGGTTGAATTAGCAGAGTTGGTTTAGCACGGGGCGGCACGGTAGCCAACTGGTTAGGATGTCTGCCTTATAGTGCAGAGGAGCGCCGTTTGATTGAACTTTTTGACAATAATTCCAAAATGTGTGTCCATACCTCAGGTCATCACCAAAAGAACACCACACCTACACTGAAGCATCGCGGTGGCAAGGTGGCCGCATCATGCTCTGGGGTTGCTTTTCTTCAGTTGAAACTGGCAAGGCGGAAAGAATTCTGAACAGTTAGAATCAGTAGTCACAAAATCTTCAGGTTTATGAATTTAAGAAAACTTGGCAGGAAAAGCCTACTAGAACAGATCAATTTTATTTAGGTTTAATCTGGGCACTTAAAATGAGGTGTGTGCAGACACCTATTTAACATCTTTGTCTCATTTTTGACATCCCAAAACGCTCGCATTTAAATAGAAGCATGTTTTTAGAGCCACTGTACAGAAAGACTACCATCACGATAATACTTGGTCCATTTAAATTCATACTTATCAGACAACGTTAAATCAAAATGTAACATCATTACCGTTGTACGAATGGTTGATAAAACACAATTATTTGATTGTGCCGGTGCCTCTTATGAAGTGACATTTGAGTGTCTACGTTTCACACTTTGTTTGTCGCGCCCGCAGAGAACTGGATGATTCTGGGAACCTTCTTCTACCCCGCACTTTACTACCCTCTCCTGGCATGTGGCACCCTGCATAATAAAGTCGGCTACGTACTCGGAAGCCTCTTGTCATGGACGCACTTTGGTGTCTTGGTTTGGCAGAAAATTGAATGCCCGAAAACACCGCAGGTATGAACAGATCTTCATCAGCACAGCACAGCACAGCGAATACCTGTTCATTTATTCTGTATGTACTAGGTAGGGATAAATGTATTTGCTCTTTTATGACCAAACAATGTTTTATGTCTGTCACATACACAAGAGACGGGATTTAAAAAAGATGATTATCAGCCTTTCAAAGTGGATTTGGGTCTCCACCTGATAGAAGTTTTAATCTTGGCTCCGACTGACAGATTTAGTACCCAGTCCGCCTCACTTTCTCCTCCTGTGCATTGAATGGTTCGGATTCAAAGCAATTAGTTCCCCTGTCTGGTGGTCTTAATCACAAAGCTTCGTAACACTCAGTGTGTCTCAGTGCCTTCCAGGCTATATTATACATTTTGTAATGGATGTCTTTTTGATAAGGTTGCTGAGATAATGTGCTGCTGAAAAAACAAAAATAAATAAGTTTTTTTTCGAATGAATAAAATTGGAACAGAGTAGGGTTAGTGGTGTGGTGATTTGAGATGGATGTACAGTATTGTTTAAGTTACTGTAATGAGGGGCTTGGTTACAAGAAAACGCTTACAATATGTCTCTTATTTATTACAAATGAAATTTTTAAATTTTGGTGGAGATTATCTCAAGCATCATGCAAGTTGACATTCTTGATTTGCTTCCGCGGGCCAGAAAAAATGACGTGGCGGGCCGGAACTGGCCCCCAGACCTTGAGTTTGACACCTGTGTTCTGGAATACGGTTTTTAAATGATTTTCTCAGCCCCCTTTGTATCGGTCAACCCCCTCTCTAGCCCCAGGGGAGAAAAATTATTCTGGAGCCGTGCCTGAGTGGTGCAATCAAGTTTACTTCATTTCAATACATATTTAACCAACAACAAATTTCACACAACCAACTCAATGATCAGATAAGAATTTATGACACCCATCCCTAGTGGAAATGACATTTTCTGCCTCTTTTTGGGTAATATCACCTATTGTATGGGTGACCAAAACTTTTTTTTTTCCTTTCAGATACATAAATACTACTTGCTGTTCTCTAGCCTGCCCCAGATAGCTTGCTTGGCCTTCCTTAGTTTCCAGTATCCTCTTCTCCTTTTCAAGGGCTTGAAAGGCGCTGAAAAGAACAATGCCTCTGAGGTAAGTCACGTTGCCCCATTTTGACACCTGGCATGTTAAGTCTACTTTTACTGCATATAACCATCTGACAACCCTCGTGCCATGTTCACATAAACCTGCACTGTTTAAAAAAGCTTTGCTGAGACGCAATGTACATTTTTTTTTTCTGAACGTACACTATACGAGACATTAGCCCTTTCAGTCCGTAGCATGCTCTTTCTTGGGTAATGCAATGTGCCAACAGCCTAGTCAGTGTAAGTAGATTTGATGTAATTGGTTTATGTTATGTTCTTGATCAGATTAGGGAAGGGTTTCCGTGTGTTTTTTTTCACCGACGAAACACAATGGCATGTTTATTTTATGCTAATCCTGACATGGGTGTGACAAAGCTGGAGTGAGGCGATTGTCCCGCTCCCCACATCCACCATCAAAGATATCCCTAAGTCCTGCCATACGTAATACCTTATGTAAAAGAAATGCGTGATCGCAGTTGAGCACAATCTTGTCACTTTAAACCTTTCAGGGACAGTGGTTACTACAGTGGACAGCTTAACATGTTATCAGGTTACAGGGTGCATGAAAGGGTTAATTGGTGTTTTAATCTTTCACAAAATGTTAATTTATCAGTTAACTATGGAGAAAAAAAAGTTCATATTGTTAATATTTTTTGTGTCCAGCTACCAAAAAGTTGAGCGATCTAACTGACTGAAAACAAGCTTTGAGAGCAGATCTATCGACTCACTTGGACAGACCAACTGTCTGAATCGACGGGAGCCTTGTGACATGTGTATCACATTCTAATCAATGACATTATCTTCAATAATTGGATTTTTTTTTTTTTAGCTAATCACCCGTTTCATGCACCCGGTAACCTGATAACACGATAACATGAAAAGCTGTCCACTGTAGTAACCGCTGTCCCTGAAAGGGTTAAATTAGCAATTGAATATGATGCGTTGAAGAGCATATGATAGAAATACAAGGTATAATTTAAACTTACTTGGTTTGGTATTTCAAGCAAGCAAGAAAACTTTTTTTGGGGGGGGGACAATGATATGCTATTGTGGGTCACCAGCTCCTTGAACTTGAACTTTTTCAAATTGACTCCTCAATGTGATTGAGGTTGAACTTTTGTTATTTCGTCCTCGCACATCATTCATAGGATCTGAACAGCAGCTACTACAATGACTATGTGAAGAAGCTGCTCAAGAGGAAGAAGCACATCAAAATCAGGTTTATTCTGTATGTACTAGGTAGGGATAAATGTATTTGCTCTTTTATGACCAAACAATGTTTTATGTCTGTCACATACATAAGAGACGGGATTTAAAAAAGATGATTATCAGCCTTTCAAAGTGGATTTGGGTCTCCACCTGATAGAAGTTTTAATCTTGGCTCCGACTGACAGATTTAGTACCCAGTCCGCCTCACTTTCTCCTCCTGTGCATTGAATGGTTCGGATTCAAAGCAATTAGTTCCCCTGTCTGGTGGTCTTAATCACAAAGCTTCGTAACACTCAGTGTGTCTCAGTGCCTTCCAGGCTATATTATACATTTTGTAATGGATGTCTTTTTGATAAGGTTGCTGAGATAATGTGCTGCTGAAAAAACAAAAATAAATAAGTTTTTTTTCGAATGAATAAAATTGGAACAGAGTAGGGTTAGTGGTGTGGTGATTTGAGATGGATGTACAGTATTGTTTAAGTTACTGTAATGAGGGGTTTGGTTACAAGAAAACGCTTACCATATGTCTCTTATTTATTACAAATGACAGTTTTAAATTTTGGTCGAGATTTTCACAAGCATCATGCAAGTTGACATTCTTGATTTGCTTCTCTTGTCATGGACGCACTTTGGTGTCTTGGTTTGGCAGAAAATTGAATGCCCGAAAACACCGCAGGTATGAACAGATCTTCATCAGCACAGCACAGCACAGCGAATACCTGTTCATTTATTCTGTATGTACTAGGTAGGGATAAATGTATTTGCTCTTTTATGACCAAACAATGTTTTATGTCTGTCACATACACAAGAGACGGGATTTAAAAAGATGATTATCAGCCTTTCAAAGTGGATTTGTGTCTCCACCTGACAGAAGTTTTAATCTTTGCTTCAACTGACAGATTTAGTACCCTGTCCGCCTTACTTTCTCCTCCTGTGCATTGAATGGTTCGGATTCAAAGCAATTAGTTCCCCTGTCTGGTGGTCTTAATCACAAAGCTTCGTAACACTCAGTGTGTCTCAGTGCCTTCCAGGCTATATTATACATTTTGTAATGGATGTCTTTTTGATAAGGTTGCTGAGATAATGTGCTGCTGAAAAAACAAAAATAAATGTCTTTTTTTTCGAATTAATAAAATTGGAACAGAGTAGGGTTAGTGGTGTGGTGATTTGAGATGGATGTACAGTATTGTTTAAGTTACTGTAATGAGGGGTTTGGTTACAAGAAAACGCTTACCATATGTCTCTTATTTATTACAAATGACAGTTTTAAATTTTGGTCGAGATTTTCACAAGCATCATGCAAGTTGACATTCTTGATTTGCTTCCGCGGGCCAGAAAAAATGACGTGGCGGGCCGGAACTGGCCCCCAGACCTTGAGTTTGACACCTGTGTTCTGGAATACGGTTTTTAAATGATTTTCTCAGCCCCCTTTGTATCGGTCAACCCCCTCTCTAGCCCCAGGGGAGAAAAATTATTCTGGAGCCGTGCCTGAGTGGTGCAATCAAGTTTACTTCATTTCAATACATATTTAACCAACAACAAATTTCACTTTAAGAAAAATTTCACAGCATGCCGTATTTTCCTCATTATAAGGCGCTTTGGAATATAAGGCGCCCTTCAACAAATGGCCTATTTTGAAACTGTTTTCATTTATAAGGCGCATAAAATAGAAGCTACAATAGTGCCTGCGGTTGATTTATGCATCCACTAGATGGAGCTACGCTAAACGGAATAATGAAATTTTTAAATTTTGGTGGAGATTATCTCAAGCATCATGCAAGTTGACATTCTTGATTTGTTTCCGCGGGCCAGAAAAAATGACGTGGCGGGCCGGAACTGGCCCCCAGACCTTGAGTTTGACACCTGTGTTCTGGAATACGTTTTTTAAATGATTTTCTCAGCCCCCTTTGTATTGATCAACCCCCTCTCTAGCCCCAGGGGAGAAAAATCATCCTGGAGCCGTGCCTGAGTGGTGCAATCAAGTTTACCTCATTTCAATACATATTTAACCAACAACAAATTTCACACAACCAACTCAACGATCAGATAAGAATTTATGATGCCCATCCCTAGTGGAAATGACATTTTCTGCCTCTTTTTGGGTAATATCACCTATTGTATGGGTGACCAAAACTTTTTTTTTTCCTTTCAGATACATAAATACTACTTGCTGTTCTCCAGCCTGCCCCAGATAGCTTGCTTGGCCTTCCTTAGTTTCCAGTATCCTCTTCTCCTTTTCAAGGGCTTGAAAGGCGCTGAAAAGAACAATGCCTCTGAGGTAAGTCACGTTGCCCCATTTTGACACCTGGCATGTTAAGTCTACTTTTACTGCATATAACCATCTGACAACCCTCGTGCCATGTTCACATAAACCTGCACTGTTTAAAAAAGCTTTGCTGAGACGCAATGTACATTTTTTTTTTCTGAACGTACACTATACGAGACATTAGCCCTTTCGGTCCGTAGCATGCTCTTTCTTGGGTGATGCAATGTGCCAACAGCCTAGTCAGTGTAAGTAGATTTGATGTAATTGGTTTATGTTATGTTCTTGATCAGATTAGGGAAGGGTTTCCGTGTGTTTTTTTTTCACCAATGAAACACCTTCCTTAGTTTCCAGTATCCTCTTCTCCTTTTCAAGGGCTTGAAAGGCGCTGAAAAGAACAATGCCTCTGAGGTAAGTCATGCTGCCCCATTTTGACACCTGTCATGCTAACTCTGCTTTTACTGCATATAACCGTCTGACAACCCTTTTCATTTATAGTTACTAATGTTCACATGAACCTGCACTGTTTAAAAAAAGCTTTGCTGAGACGCAATGTACTTTTTTTTTTTTTCTGAACGTACACTATACGAGACATTAGCCCTTTCGGTCCGTAGCATGCTCTTTCTTGGGTGATGCAATGTGCCAACAGCCTAGTCAGTGTAAGTAGATTTGATGTAATTGGTTTATGTTATGTTCTTGATCAGATTAGGGAAGGGTTTCCGTGTGTTTTTTTTCACCGACGAAACACAATGGCATGTTTATTTTATGCTAATCCTGACATGGGTGTGACAAAGCTGGAGTGAGGCGATTGTCCCGCTCCCCACATCCACCATCAAAGATATCCCCAAGTCATGCCATACGCAATACCTTATCACACATTTCTTTTACATAAGGCTTATGTAAAAGAAATGCGTGATCGCAGTTGAGCACAATCTTGTCACTGTAACCCTTTCAGGGACAGCGGTTACTACAGTGGACAGCTTAACATGTTATCGGGTTACAGGGTGCATGAGAGGGTGAATTGGTGTTTTAATCTTTCACAAAATGTTAATTTATCAGTTAACTATGGAGAAAAAAAAGTTCATATTGTTAATATTTTTTGTGTCCAGCTACCAAAAAGTTGAGCGATCTAACTGACTGAAAACAAGCTTTGAGAGCAGATCTATCGACTCACTTGGACAGACCAACTGTCTGAATCGACGGGACCCTTGTGACATGTGTATCACATTCTAATCAATGACATTATCTTCAATAATTGGATTTTTTTTTTTTTAGCTAATCACCCGTTTCATGCACCCGGTAACCTGATAACACGATAACATGAAAAGCTGTCCACTGTAGTAACCGCTGTCCCTGAAAGGGTTAAAATAGCAATTGAATATGATGCGTTGAAGAGCATATGATAGAAATACAAGGTATAATTTAAACTTACTTGGTTTGGCATTTCAAGCAAGCAAGAAAACTTTTTTTGGGGGGGGACAATGATATGCTATTGTGGGTCACCAGCTCCTTGAACTTGAACTTTTTCAAATTGACTCCTCAATGTGATTGAGGTTGAACTTTTGTTATTTCGTCCTCGCACATCATTCATAGGATCTGAACAGCAGCTACTACAATGACTATGTGAAGAAGCTGCTCAAGAGGAAGAAGCACATCAAAATCAGGTTACTGTACCCTCTATGTCCTATATGTGTTGCTCATATCAAAAACAAACAAACGTGTGCACACAGGATCCGACCGTATGAGAATGGCTTGATTAACGCGCAGAGTTATCAAACAAAACAAACAATAAGAACTCGGGACAGATTCTAGGCATGGTATCAACAGGAAACAGGTTGCCTGTTTTTTTTTTGCTGCTCAAGAGGAAGAAGCACATCAAAATCAGGTTACTGTACCCTCTATGTCCTATATGTGTTGCTCATATCAAAAACAAACAAACGTGTGCACACAGGATCCGACCGTATGAGAATGGCTTGATTAACGCGCAGAGTTATCAAACAAAACAAACAATAAGAACTCGGGACAGATTCTAGGCATGGTATCAACAGGAAACAGGTTGCCTGTTTTTTTTTTCTTGCTGAATTGTCATTCTCGGTCAGTTCTTCTATATCCTCCTTTGGGGATAAATGACTGGCAAAGATGTTATAAAGTCAGAGTAGAAATGGAAACTATGTGCCCACTCTTATTTACCAGTTATTTGGTCATTCAGTCACTTTAAGAAAAATTTCACAGCATGCCGTATTTTCCTCATTATAAGGCGCTTTGGAATATAAGGCGCCCTTCAACAAATGGCCTATTTTGAAACTGTTTTCATTTATAAGGCGCATAAAATAGAAGCTACAATAGTGCCTGCGGTTGATTTATGCATCCACTAGATGGAGCTACGCTAAACGGAATCCATTCATTCATTCATTTTCCGATCCGCTTATCCTCACAAGGGTCGCGGGGGGGGGGGGGGGGGGGGGACATCCAGCGGGGA